AGCTCTGATTGGTTGCTTCAACGAAACTGAAGGAAAAGCATTGTGATGTCACAGGGATGTCAGGGTGATGTCAGAGGGAGATGATTGATCCCAAAACCCAACACAACATTCACTTCCATCCACTCTGTCTGGAACCAATCTGACGCTGATGAGTCTCGCCCTGTTTACGATGACACAATGCTGATGGCTGTGACATCATGGCGTGGTGAGTTCGGTCTGAAGGCGGTCCTACCTGCACACATACGGATCTGTCCAGGTGAACAGGTGCTGTCCTGTTCAGTCCCGCTCTGCCTCACCTCCTCCCCCCGATCCCTCCTCCTGGCGCCCTGAGGACGCAGCAGGTCAGAGGTCACATGTGTGTGTGTTTGCGCCTGTCTGCCAGCGTGTGTGTGTGTCCGTGTGTATTTTTGTACCTTTTTCGACTTCTGCCAGTCATGACCTCTGACCTGTCCTTCACTTATGGGGTCAAAGTCCTGGAAGATGAAAAATAAATACCTCAATGCCATTACTGCTTTAACTGTAGTATTTCTGCTATAACCCTTGAATTTCTGCTTTAACTGTAGTATTACTGCTATAACTTTAGTGTTACTGAATTAACTGTAGTATTACTGCTATAACTATAGTGTTACTGTTATAACTGCAGTATTACTGTTATAACTGCAGTATTACTGCTATAACTATAGTGTTACTGAATTAACTGTAGTATTACTGCTATAACTATAGTGTTACTGTTATAACTGCAGTATTACTGTTATAACTGCAGTATTACTGCTATAACTATAGTGTTACTGTTATAACTGCAGTATTACTGCTATAACTATAGTGTTACTGAATTAACTGTAGTATTACTGCTATAACTATAGTGTTACTGTTATAACTATAGTGTTACTGTTATAACTGCAGTATTACTGCTATAACTATAGTGTTACTGTTATAACTGCAGTATTACTGCTATAACTATAGTGTTACTGTTATAACTGCAGTATCACTGCTATAACTGTAGTATTACTGCTTTAACTGGAACATGATTCTTACCATTTCCTGTATCTCCTGAAGAGAACTGGAGAAACTGAAGACGCTGTCCTCTGAGAGACAGAGAGAGATATTTGAGTGAATTCTTAGTTTTTTGGATTAGTTTAAATGTTGA